TTTTTTTTCTCCTCTTCTTTCTCTCAAGAAAAAAAAATATTATATCAATCTGTTCTCTCCGACAACATCGAGAGAATAATAACTTCTCATTTGCAAGCTTCTTTTTTTTTTTTTATTTCTTTAAAACTCATCGATTCCTTTGATGGTATTCATCGATTAATCCAAATACATTATAGTACAAACGAACAAACAAACAGGTAATTAGTAATGCATTGTTGTATTCAATGATAAATTTCGCTTTTTCTTTGAATTCAATTTCTATATTATTCTGATGAACATTTCAGACTGACAAATTTTTCTGTGCTATGCTTGCATATATATTTTTTTTCATATTTGATGAGGTCAGGTGTTAATTTCCGCATTTTATTGTTCTTACCAATGAGATGTATAGCAATAAAATCATATCTTTCTTATTAAAATAATGTTTTGAAGACAGGAAAAGAAGCACATTTGGCAGATGTACATCGTTATTGTTGTTTTTTATTTTAGAGAAATTTGTAAAATCAATGTCTTCTAGAGCACAACGACGTCGAACAAAACCTTCAAGTTTGTTTGAAATTATATAATATCTAAAGTGTCTATGAGATCATATTTCATAGTTACTGTGAAACAAGCATTTGAAGAAAATGAGAACGACAATAAACCGAATACTCAAGAAATATCTGATGAATATGAATCATCATTACGTGATCATATTGATTTAGATCGATTTTATGAAAGAGCATTTTTTACAATAAATAATGTAACAGTTGAAGTTATTTTGAATAATGATATATTAAATTGGTCAGATCTATCAGATGAAAGTAAAATTTAAAAAAAACCATATTCCGTTGTTCTATACAAAACAAAGAACAAAGTTTATTTTCTAGGCTATTACGATGGAATTCATCGAAGAAAAGTTTCTAATAGAGAAAATATGAATTCAATTAATTTACATGATGTTTATGCTATATCACCCATATATGATCAATGCAATTCGTTATTAAATACAAATGAAAATCAATCGAATATGACATTACGTGGATTTCAATTACATACATATGAAATAAAGCATGATAATATTTTACAAGAAATTCTTATTATTTTTCAAAGTAATCTACCTAATCAAATGAAACAATGGTATCGATTACTTTCAAAAATGATATCTGAATGTATGAAAATGGTTTTTTTTTGTTTCTTTTCATTGAATGAACTTTTACAGATAAACCATCACGTAAGATACTTGTTCTTTGTAATCCATACACTGGTTCAAGACCTAGTCGATATGTTTATAATACAAAAATTAAACCTATGCTTGACAGAGCACATTATAATGTTACTTATTTTGGTAAATTGAAATAAAAACAAAAGATCATTATTGTAAAATTCTTGTTCATATTTGTTTGTTTTAGAAATCGATGATCTATGTTCTGCTGATGAAGTATTAAGTAATTTTGAAGATGATTTTGATTCATTTTATGGGTATGAGAGAAATCTTTTATTTTTTCTTTTGTCCATTAATGAATTTGAATTTTTATCTATTAGCTTAGTTATTATTGGTGGTGATGGCTCAGTAATTAATGTTATCAATGCATTACTTCGTAATTTAGCAAAAGAAAATCGAACAAGGTAAATGAAGAAAAAAAAATTTCTGTGATATATGATCTACTTTATGTTATAGATTAGGTATAGAATATGATTTACCATCATTACCATTTCCTATATGTATTATACCGAATGGTAAATTTATAAATATAATTATTTTATTATAATTTTGATTCTTGTTCTTTTTTTTAAGGAACAACAAATATCATATGTCAGTCGATTCATGGTTGTACAGATCATTGTACACCTATTCTTCATTTACTTTTTAGTAAGATAAATACTATAGATATGTTTCTAAAAAAAACTTCATTGATTCAAATTTTAGATCATCAAATGAAAATTGATATGTCAGCAATATTTGATGCTAATTATAATTTTGTTACAGCAAATTTTAGTGCTGGAGCTGGTTATCCAGCTAATGCTCTTAAATATTTTACACGTTATTCAAATTTTAGTCCAAAAAAAACTATTCGAAAATCATTTGCTAAAGCAACTTCAAATAAAAATCTCAGGTAAATTTTTATTATATATATATATATATGAATAGAGTAATCACATGAAAATTTATGCACAAGGGAAGGATATAGTTGTTAATTTTCTCTTCATTCTCATTTACACTCCTACGCTCAATCAAACCTACACTCTTTATCATCACTTTTTTTT